AATTCATCAAAACTGTCGGATATGGTTGGAATTGCAAACCTTTTCTCAGGGATTTAAACTTTTCGGTATACTGGCCTCATGCTACTTCTTCATCATTCCCAAAATCTTTTCAGTTTTGAAATCGTTTCATGCCTATTCAAACCGATATTCCTTTTCAAAAATGAAAGGTTATAAGAGAATTGATTGCACTCCGGAATGATTGTTTCTTCGCGTTGAACCTAAAGGATTCAAAATAGGCCGCTGTTCCCGTACACTAGGCTCTGCTTATCTGATGTGGTTTATTGCCAAATCTTTCTTGAGTCTTGTCTGTCCATTGTCACGTTTTTTCCCACTCTGAGTGAACCATTTGATCGAATTTGGTTTATAATCCAATGTGTTCTCACTTGATTAATTGTCCCAGAGCTCTCTCAAGCGCGATGTTCAACTGAACTAGTCTTTTTATTGTTTTCACTCGACCATTCGACCGGGTTTTCTATGATCTAAAATATTAATTCATGAACACCAGAAGACATATGTGGGCAGAATTGATATAAGCCATCAATTTTGCGTGATCTCACTCAGCTGTAAACGCACATTTATATGGTCATGTGAAATGAAGAAGCATAAGAGTTGACATGAGTCATTTGAAAAAAGTGGTGGACAAGTGAGTTGATTGATTTGTGTTTGGTTAGGGGTTGAGGTCACGCGAAATTGATGGCCAATATCAATTCTGCCCACATATGTCTTCTGATGTTGATGAAATGGATGAAGGGAAAAGGATGTTTTACATAAAATATTGATGTTTTTAAATGGCATTGTCTTCATTTATACCTTTTGAATTCCGGTTGATAGAGTTTCAGCAACCACATAAATCTGTTCGAAGTCACACGGTTCCCCTGTGATACAGGGCGCTCTCGCTCAATTTTTACGGCCTAGATGTTACCAGGTTGCTTCGCTTTTTCAGAATTGATAGCTTTGCGTCCACACGTGTACGGATCAATAGACAAAACAACTAAGACAATGGTTAGCAATGGAATCATGGTATCCCGTTCGATTCCTATGCGCACTCGAGAATTTGATCAACAGTGAACTTTTGCTTAGGTGGAAAGTAGATGAAAAGCTGGTCTGGTTAATTCCAAACGGTAAAATACTCAATGATTAACGATCTGCGAATGATTGCATACCAGGTTGTAGAGCACCGTAAAATAGTTGAATCCTCAAATCATCGCGCCATATCGTGCATTATTTCTTACTTTTGTACTGTGTGATACTGCTGCTGGTCCAATTGAGTTTAAGTTTTTTCTCTCTGGGTTTGAGCACCTGGTTAGTCAGATAAGAACAGCTGTCGATTTGATCACGATATTCATTTACGACGCTGGATATCTTTATGGTTCATTTAAGGAAAAGTTAATCATAGTTTTTTAATAAAACTTGCCAAATGTTGTGTGAATTCTCCCGATGACCTCTTCCGAGGTCAGCACTTGCAATGCACGCAGTTCCGGCAACGAAAATCTCCGGAATTGTGGCATTTATTTTCGATCCATATCGATAGATTTCGCGCAATCGATTTTAGACGGGGACAGCTTGTATCCTCGAAAGTAATAAATATGCTGCTTTTATAAATAACACTCTTTGGAAATTGCCAGCTGAGTTCGGTTGAACAAACAACGAAATTAACAAATTGGTGGAAGATGAAAATTTACTTTCTCTCAGATTGTAGAAATCTGTGAACTATTTGCTGCCCAAGATAATGTTCTAAGTCTAAAAAATCGATAATTCACATGCATGACAATGAGTATGACAAATTCCATTTGGCCTAAGGATCTACGAAACAGAATCCCCGTGTATGAAATAATGAAAAAGTTATCTTGAAAGTGCTGTTGCTTCACATGTCATTAACAATTCGAACGCGTCCGTGTTCATGTAGGTTCGAACTCTTGAACTCAATAGACAGAATGAAGACAAAGTAGCAACGTAATCACCTAACTGTTCTATCAAGTTAAGAAATAGCTTAGCACAACTTATGGCTATAAGCCGAGGGTGAGTTACTGTCTTAGTCATCTTACGACTTAGTTTCATTCAGTATTACACCATATTCATGGGGCTATAACTAACTTTATATGGATGGTGATTGCACTGGAGTTGGATAATATTAGTTTCCGTACTGATCTAAAATGGTTGAGCTCGTGCGTTTGTATCCTCAATATAGACAGATACAGACACAAAGAAAAGACTGTTCGGTGTTATAGTATATACCTTTAGGCCGTGCGCACGCGCATCAGCTAAGTGAATGCTATTGGTAATTTACCACTGTACGCATTTTCATTCAATGAATAGTGATCCCCTGGGGAAGTCCGAGTTAACGAGGGCAAATTACTCACTACGCGTTAAACAATGAAGCTCTGAACTACTTTTTCACCACTGGGAACAACGTTCTCGCTGGTGTTTGGCTCCAGTTTGAGCGCAGTGCGCGGTTCGGATGAACTGCGTGCTCATCTGTTAAGAGTAGACTTCGGAGGTAGCCAGAGTTAACTGCAAAGAAAGACACATGGTTAGCAGGCATCGTCCATGCACATACTTTTTCTTAACTGATACGAAGTACAGAAAATTAATATTATTTCAATGAGTTTATAAGCAAAACCAAAGTATAAACAACTTTTTAAAACGGTTAGGAAGAACAGTGAAGCATAGTTATCTTCCTTTTGTCGAGTCATTTGTTTAGGAAGATGTTTGACGATAGATTTGGTGTTTGTTAGCTCCTTCAGATTGTGAATGCCATACTTTGGTTAGCCTGACCCTTTAGTACTGACGCTGACGCTTATCACATAAATCCAAGTTCATGGAATGCTACATAAATTGTCACTATGCCATGGGACTCTCTTTGATTACGTCATCTAGCGGTGACCTGGGTTTAGTGTCCCGTTTTTCAGTTATCACCGTCTCTTTGTTGAAATGCTCGTGGTGAGGCTTGACTTGGCGTTCAATGTTCCCTGTCACTCCACTTGAGTATAAAATTGAATTAATTTAATTTAATTTACACCAACATATTGACCTGTCTTTCTCCGAAGAAATCAAATGCTAAAATCAGTCAAGTTAAAGTGACACAGTCAACAGAAACGGGAATAAATTCGCAGATATTCAAGTGAAAAATAAGTTGCCTTGCCAGTGCAATACCCATTGCTAATCGTCAAGCGAGACAAATTCAATCCCAACCAACCAGATGATCGAGAAGCACGTGTTTTCTCCCTTGAACAATTCTTTTTATCGTCCGCCAGACATTCTGTCCATGCAAAACAAAACAGTCATTCTTTGCCGAGTGGAACAGATGTGAGGCGGATAGCAATCATTACCGAATGCTCTGCTATTCCCCCCTTAAAGACACGCACAGAGACGCATCTGACAAAATAGTACTTCAATTTGTTTACCGATTTGGGTTATTCTGTTTTGTCTGGCTATATCCCATGAGGAAATTCAACTAGATTGAAATCATGTGCACGCTAATTAGCACAGTCTGTTATTAGTCTGAGCGGGATCACAATCAATGCCTTAGAAAATAACAAAATGATCCGGAATGATCTTATTTCATGGGGAAAGAAGGAAACAGTCTGAATTTCTACCCATCATACGCGCGTGTCATAGAATACTATTTCCCCGCTCTTTATGATAAGTTAAACGCCTTAGCATTCGTGGCTCATTCTAGGCTTATTGATCTCGAGACTGACTCTCAGTTCGTCGAGTAGAAAAATCTCGGATTCGATAAACCGATGAAAATAACTCGTTATTGTTTGCACAGTCGCTAACGATACTTTCTCATGTAATTTCGCGTTAAACTGGAAATAATTCTACAACATGTGCGGAATTCTGAGGCAATCATTACAAAAATTCGGTTAAATTTACAATCTTACGATAGTATTTACATATTTCAGTGGCATAAACGGAACACAAAACTATCGTGTTAATTTAATGATTTTTAACTTATGTATCCACTCTACCAAGAGCAGTGAATTACAAAAAGTCGTATTACTCTATAATCTTGTGGCGGTTGGCAGTATCCGCACACAGGACACCGCATACGTGTGAAACTATACAACTTTACGTAGAATGCACTGCACTTCCTTAAGGGTAATGCACCGCGTTAGATTTTTGATACTTTTACTACAGTTTAGGTCAGTTTAGGTTTTGTTTGAATTTCAAATTTTTTATGCTTCATTTGAGCTTAGAACTTATACGCCAACTTCGTCATTCAGACCTCCAACATTTTTTCACCATCTCTCACATTGATTTACAGGTTCCAATTGTGGCTCTTGCTCTGTTTGGAACTTTTGCCGCGGTTCTCACGTTCCTGTGCGATATCCACATCCTGGCTGATTTTCTCAGCATCGGCACATTGATTGCCTACACAATTGTTGCAGTGGATGTATGTATTTTACGGTACTGCCAACCGCAACTGTACTCCAGTGGTTGGACAGAAATCGAGTCCTCTGAAGCCGGACTGGTAAGTAGCTGATAGGAAATGTACTTCAAATCCACGCTCCACCTTGATTGAGGTGGTAGTTTTCAATTCTGGTTATCAAACAATTTCCTGCATGCATTTGTCCCAATCAGTTCGATCATCGCCAACCTGATCAGGACGAGTTAATGAGTTCCTAGAAGATTTTCTATCATTTGATAAATAATTCGGTTCAAATGTCTCCATAGAGGTCAAAGACGCTAAGAGACTGGTCCAACCGCGTAACAGAATAAGTTTAATGTCCTGCCTATCCAGATTCTTTTGAAGTCACCACAAGCAGTTTGATCGAGGCGCCTCCATCGGTTTTTATTGAGGTTTACAACTTACAAACCGTTGTGTGCATTGACTGGCGTTGAACTGCAACGCCGTCCTGTGACGTTTCTTTGGATATCCGGAACCAAGGTTTTTCAGACCGTTGATCAAGTAAACTGTTGGAAAATTGGCTGGTCCGCACCGATCGTCCTGAAAGTGTTGCACGGTAACGAAATTTTTGTGGTCAGTCTCAACATTTTGCATTGCGGTTCGTATTGGTCAGATAACCAGATGCGTGGGTCAAAATACATTCGTGGACATAAGGACATCAATAATTTCTCAGATGATAAAGTTTAATACCATTATTATACATTTTCACCAAAATGACTAACCTCATTTTGTCTTGACATTATTCCATCTCCTGGAGTTTTTGAAAGGTAAACAAAAAGGACACGTGTAATACCAATAAGACAGAGGGTTTACTGCTTCCCTAATCGAAATTAGCACTCAGAAGCATTCCATTTAGCTGCCTCCCTCGTCCGTATTCAACTTGGAAGTCGTTTCAAGTAATGATCACTGAACCATACCAACTTAGAACTTACGGATGCACATCCGAGTGCTCTCAACCGCCTTGCCTTTAGCTGGACAAATCACAAGTTTGATTTTATTTGCATTTGTATAATTTTTGTAAGATTATATGCTCACAGTTCAGTAACAGTTAAAATTGCAGTAGACCGAGTTGACTCACGGGAATTATTGATTCAGTGATCGTAGACAACGGGTCTTACTAAGGTTGCGATTTCGGTCATTCTCTATCAGTCGGATTAGATTTTTTTACTGGTTGCGTTGTTTGTGCTGAACTAGGTTTGTACTAACTCGAGTGGATAGATTGCCGTATGTATCAAAAAAAACGAAACCAATATACTCTTCACTGTGGAAAGAGACTTTAGCAGATTTATAGATCCTGCCCAAACAGGTTTCTTCTGGTAAAGGTTTTTTCAGTCTCTTCATCCAGTTCATTTTCCTCAGTAGGACGATTGAAGAAACAATTCATTTTTATTGATCTGAAATTATCCTTCTTCAGAACTCATATTCCTCAGTTCACTTCGTCAACTAAACACCAAGGAAGCACATTAGACTCGATTTTGGCTCTGGCCAGGGCGCATCAGTGATACACATCCAACGACGTGTCCGATATTTGAACCCTGGACCACTTGTATAGTTTGAAACAGCTCACCCCGGGACTAACCGAGATAACCGATTAAAACCTGTTTTAGATGCCCCTTAATCAATGATTGTCAATCAGCAAAATTGGCCTCGAAGGCAACGAAAAGAGTCATAATTAATGTGGAGAGATCTCAAATTAGGCTGCAGCAAGTTGCATAACTAATGACAGCTCATCCTCATCGGATCGCACGTGACTAGTCAACTTGGTTATCTACTTCGTTTGTGTGAATCCACTCACTCACTCCACTTTGTAAATCGATTTGACCTAACTACAGTCAACCCGTTCCCATTCATTGACTTGTGTTCCTTTTTTCTTGATCGGGAAAAAAATCAGACCCGGGGTAAAAAGCTACAATATTTGAAAACTTCCTATCAAATCAGGACTTCCATGCAGGTTCGAGCGTGATGACCAAAATTAAATCTACCGGGCTAGAATTTCATTCGCATATGATTCTCAGTTACGTGTGAATTGATGAACTGAGGTTTGTGCTTGAAGGTAATGTCTAAAGGATATTCAGTCCAAATCAGTACCCCGATTCGACAACACGACTGACAAATAACTGTGAGTAAATGTGAGGATCAGTTTATATCTTCTGAAACATGATACAAGTCTCATTCATGAACTCTCTGTTAGATGATATATTGGCGATCGAGAATGCCTTTTTTGGTGGTAGATGACTTCCCTGTCCACCGGCGCAATACAACTCAAGGACGACCAAGACGGTTCAGTAGTAACACACATTAATCCGTATACCAAACACCAATACGGCCGCTTTCTCTCTGACACCCACACGAGTTAGATCAATCTTCCACTAAAACATCCAGTCCCGTATTTTGTGTTCGAGCTGTGAGTCACATGATTACTAAAGAAAGAAACCTCACGATCGATAGATGCCTACAAACCCTAGTAGTCATTCGATATGTATGGAGAGAACTACATTTTGCAAAGATTTTGAAAGCCTATCAAAAGTTAGATGTCACTGGCAAGTATAAAAGAAGCGACTCGAGGTAGAATTTAATTTACTTGAACGTTGATTTAACGCGTCCCACTAATGCGTTAAGTTTGATACCCAATTTGAATGAGAACTGTGATGAAAAGGAGCTAGAAGTGTTAGAGTGAACATCTACCGTGTTGTTAGGTTTTAAATAAATTTAAAGAAGTGAATTTGATCTAAGAAGGATCGAGGTAACGCAAACATCGCGTTAACAGGTTGTTCCCTTGAAGTGAAGAGCAAGGTCGTGTGCGTACGACGGCACACGGACCGCGACTGGACATGTACTAAAATGTAGCCCGTATCGAATGATCCGAGTTTCATCTGAGTAGCCATTCAGTTCACAACCCCTGGATCGGACTGTGATGCACGAGTATACTTTCAAAATGGTTCCCTGAGGTTTGGGACTTCGATACATTCAATCATTTCTTGCTTACTCACCCACGTTTACACCCCCAGTTTTGGCTTTCAATAAACATGTCTGACAAGGTTCCGTAAAATTGTCGCGTTACTTTTACTGAACAAGAAGGTTCTATTCAATGTAATCTTTAAAAAACAGTCTTTATGTTTCTGCCACTAGTACTAAGAACAATCCAGATGAGAATGTCCCGGACATTTACCTCAGCTTTATGATAAAAATACTATTTTGTGCTTTTAGCAGCCCTAGGCAGAATAATCAGATTCGGTTCGATAAAAACCAATAATAACAGCATATTCACTGAGACAAGAGTTTAAAATTCGATTTCGTTTAAATGTGGTCAGAAAGTTTAACGGGAAATGAAATGAATCTCTGAAAGCAGCTGGAGCTGAAGGTAAAAGTTGAGATACTCAAGTGCAACATCAAACGTGTTCCCGAAGAAACAGTAAATTTACTATCAGATATGGTCACCCTTGACACATGAACTTCATCGCCAGTATATCTTTTAATTGCTAATTCTGTAGGCTAGTAAATATACATTCTTCGCTTCATAATCCCACATCATGGCTGGTTTAATCTCCTCCTCTTATTGTTTTCGACTTCCACCATCGCTCACGTCATTCGCAGGATAGTGAGTCCGGTAATGATGAGAAAATTCGGGAGACTAACGAGTCCGAACTGAACGAGTGGCCCCACGCAATTGGGCGGCTTAAATCTGCATTTCGTCATTTGCCAATCCTACGTGACTCTGCCCCAGGGCGTGCACCGATTATCGCTTTACTCCTCTACATCATCTGTGCCGCTTGTCTGGCCAGTCTGGCCTTACCCGGAATGCAATACGTTCAGGAGGCTCGTTGGTGGGCTATCTTAGCCGTGATTGTGTTCCTTATCGGAGCGGTCTTCTTTGTCGTGATCATGTATCTACATGAACAAAATAAAGCGTTTGACAGTTTCAAGGTAAGCGGAACTGTTCCATGGCAGCTAATCTCTAAACTATGTGAACTAGTCGTTCACCAGTCAAATACTGTTTTCATGTTACTAAATATCATGGATCACTAAGTTAAAACAATTTTTAACGCTTTTGTTATCCCGTGACACCATGCTGTTTTCTCCAGTGTTTCACAGCATCTCGAACACTGTACTGATAGGGGATTTAAATGATCGCGTTCAGAGACACCAATTCTTTGGCGTATAACTCGAATTTGGGAGATGATTCAGGGGTCACTAGACGGCTGAGTGATATTAATCGAGATCCTCCGAGGCCGACAGTTTTCGATTGCTTTCTCGTCATACGTTCGGAGAAGATAGAACCGAAATAGAGTTCGGAGGTCATTCTGAATTGTTGTAAAAGTCTTTAGGTGAATCGCCGCTGACTGAGGCTGGCACTCTTAGCAGTGGCAGTTGTAACTTGTTAGTAGATATGATTAGCGCAGATGAAACCTTAAATACAGATCTCACCCTGATGAAGTGAGACTCCGGCTGATAATGCGCGGTGGAGCTAAAAAGGACTGCTGCTACAGTTAACGGACCGCTTGATGAGAACTGATTATGTATACGTAATGCTACAGCAATACTCGGTGAACACGTGTGTAGTCACGAACAGAGTTTTGCATTGTGTTGTGGGTTATTATGCGTATTAAAACAAGCTGTACAATAATGTCATATAAAATTAGATATAGAAGTAAGGCACTACAAAGTTTCCCTAAAAGAGCACTATCGCCATTATATGGGCATACTTGAAATAGACTGATCGTGAAGAAAAGGTTCATTGATGTCAAGAGGTAAGAGTAACCCGTGCCTACTTATTTTATAACTGGATGCAAAGAGCAAATTAATTTAGGTGAATATACATCTGAACCGTATTGGTTTTGATAGGTTTATGATTTAATGTTAAAAGCATATCTTCAGAGTCCTTAAGTCCGTGCTCGTCTTTTGCAACTATACTTGTTTCGCCGCCTGTAATGCGAGTGTTCACTAAAGTTAGCTTATGTCCGTGATTTAACAATCACGTCCACCATCTAAAAAGGATTTGTCATGAAGCTTAAACTTGGAGAAAATGAGACTGGAAAGGAAAATTGCTACTGAATCTGTCGGTGTAGGAACCGCTGCAGTGTCCTTTTACGGTTACAACATCTCGCGGTAACTTCAGTCATCAATTCTGATGATCTAAAATAATCGTTTGTTTGACTATTGCGTAAGTGTGATTTTCAGCTTTAGAGGTTTGGCCTTAGGGTAAAACAACCTTTGCGGGTTAAGTCAGTCTTACAACCCGGCACAGATGTAACCAAGCTAACGAACGATGTGGGTTATATGATTTCCTGAAGTGCCGTGTTTCTTTCCTGAAATTGGATGTATAATCTTTTCGTGCTGTTGTCAAAGATAAATCAGGTGCAGTCCGGAAGCCATAAATTCAAATTTTCCTGCCATTAGATTGACTACGCAGATATCGATTCCGTTTCTACGAAATGCTCTGTTTAGAACTAGGATATTTTAACTTAAATAGACCGCCCGCAAAATGGTTGGTCAATAACGTGATCACCCAAGACATTCACAATTGATCTAATCACAGCGATGTAGTGATCCAAAATTCGCACCCACTTGGTCTCATTCTTGCCGTTTTCCTATCCCTTGCATTTCTCAGGTGCCATTTGTGCCCTTCATCCCGTGCTTGTGTATTTTCCTCAACTTCTGTCTAATTGTCAAGTTGTCCCCCATGACTTGGATTCGCTTTGTGATATGGCTTCTCATTGGTGAGTGTTGAATTAATTCGCCGCAAAATCCGTGTGAAAACCAATCGACAAGTTGAAATCAGGAGGATTTTATGCTTAGTGAACGTATAACTGTGATAGGTTGCATCAAACATTACTACCACTTCTATGTGTTGATGGTATATTCATCCCTTTTGAATACATCCAAATCCGCATTCAGACTGTTGTTACCTTAAAACTGTTCTGAGACAGAATGCACGCCTCGCGTTACGAGTTGCGTACTTTACGATAGGTGTCCTCTTTCATTTTGGTCCCATTTTGGAATATCACTGTTTTCGAAAATAATTGTTATTGTTACATATGGCCCGTGAGAAGGGGTACATGTCTTTCCTACTCATCAGATCCGACCACCGATTCCACTCACTTTACTAGTGCGCTGAATGGAATCTTTTCGAATCACATCCAATGGGTTTGATCGGTTCAGGAAATATTCTAAGATTATTGCATGTCACTCGTTAAAATCATCAGGAAAATACTAAGGATTCAACTCTTTTCATCCATAGGTCTAATGATCTACTTTGCCTATGGCTGGAGACACAGTATCCATGCGACAGAACCTGGTGAGAAAGGCCGACTAATCGAGGATGCTGGAGTATCAGATGTGCCGAATGTGATAGAGCCTTCCACAAGCGACACGATTCCTGCCAGTGCTGAGTAAACTGAAGAACATTGTCAACATTATATCCTCTATGTCACTGTCTTTGTCCTTGACGTGAATTCTCGTACGATAGCGCAAAGCGCATATATTCCACCATGTCTTCGTGTTTGTTGTTCGGAGATCTGTGAGTTGTCCATTCAGTTCTGTCCGATTTATTTCCGCGAGTGCGTTCACATTCCCTGCATTCTCCTCGAATTATGGTCAAGCCATGATGTGTATCCCGTGCTTGCAATCGTCTGTCTTTGATTTGTCACTCTGAACTTGTGAACAATGAAGTTGTTATATATGATCAAAATATCATTCCCAATTCTGCTTACATCCATACCGTTTGGGACTGTATGTACTCTCTTTTTGATATCAGAGTATTTGGTCGATTGGTTCAGAAGGTGAGTCGATATTACCTGCTACATTACTATGGTATACACTATTAAAATGATATTTTCCTTATCGTATCTAATGCTTCGCTGGTTTTCATGATGTACCAATCGCACTTCTGGTGACTACCATACCACACTAAAAATTTCAAAGCTGCACCGAAAATCATTGCGTATATCACGACGTAACTACTAATGAGTAGTTGAAATGCACCGTTGGAAACCTATCACTAGGTGCTGAAATGACTGATCCGTAACTGCATTTCTCACATGCGTGTAGAAACATGAACAATGATGAAAGAATTCCACCAAAAACAATTGTTAAACACCCAATTGGAGATCGCGAAGACGGAAAACGTCAGCACTAATTTCTGGCGTCCGTTTAATCCTGTCGATAGCACGAAACAACAGCAATGAGGTAGTTGAAGAGCATATTTTCCCTTGAAGATGGTTCCAGTTTATGTGGTTTGAACTGAAGAAAAGGGAAGAACTTTCGTGTATGGAGGCTTATAACCAACTGAAGCACTGTTAAGGAACCACATGCGGCCCTTTTAGTTTGACCTCAAACGATTTAATAGACCAGCAACACTCTCCATTTGGCTCAGCGAATTGTTTGGGTTGAGCGTGGTTTTGCTTTTCTTCAATAATTTCTTTTCTCTACTTGGGTGAGCGTACATTGAAAGCTCTTAGACGTAACGGATTGTTGACAAGAAGTCTTACGAATCCCGAAATGCGCGCGACTTCCTTGTGTCCCGTTGCCCGAGGTAGACAAAAGCACTGGTGGTTGTCCTCTACGTTTTTTGGCTCATCGTAGTACTGGAAAGTACCGAATCCGTGCCTATATGACGACTAAACAATGCAAGCAAATGAATATAGTCGTAAAGCGAAAGTGTGTCACACGTGGGTTGGATAAGGACCCAGTTTATATATACACTGGAGTGGAAAACCGTGCTCAATGAAACACAAGCAGTAAAGTGAACCAGAAATTAACATCACAATGAGAGTCAAAGTTGATTTTGGAGAAAAAATGAATGAATGAATGTATTCGTAGGATGCTCCCTATCTTCGTACACATTTTAACCGCACATCTAAGTAAGTTTCCTTTTTTCTGTCAAGTTTTTGTAAATATGCTTATTTAATAACGTAGAAGATTTAGTGAGTGAATTCCTGTACTTATTTTACGTTTGCGTTGATTTCGGGTAATCGGAATTGTTTATTGCATAGAGTTAAATTCCTTCGTCCAGGTTCGATATTGTTCATTGTTGCGAGGTTGGAATTGGTTCATTTCAGTTCCAAATGGCTCGTTTGAACAGGGTTCAAGCTCATTTGTTATAGATCATTAATTTTTTCGTATATTACGTGTACTGAGATCACAAGTAAGCGCGCCAGCTTTTGAATCGCTCATTATTCGGCGGGAAGGATACTTGGAGGTCATTACCCTTGATTAGAGGTACAAAATTCAGTCGTTTCTTACTCATTTCTTGTGCTACATTAAAACTCGCTTACAATCATTATTATATACACTTCAACCAAACTCTGACATTTTTAATTTTTTGCAAACTCCTATCACTGTGCTAGCCACCGTTATCTGTTTGCACTTCATAGTTTTCGATCCTCCTTTTTGTGTATTCTTCCAACCAGGAGGCGTCTAAATATGGGTTTTAGTTTATTTCTAAGGATATTCCTTTGGTTTTGCGAACTTTAGGGACTCAATGGTTGCTGATATTCGTCAGAACCTGTCACTAATGTTTACTCACGTCCGTTTTGAATATTCGTCCCAAATGGAAACAGAACCAGAGATTGCGTTTATTGAAAACCATATATTCTGAGATCTTCAGAAAGATTGGAAGTAGATTTGGCTAGGCCTAGGCTGATATTTAAGCAACGGCAGCGGAAATCTGAAAGTAGATCTGATCAATGCAACGAAAGTGTGCGATACAGAGCTCACCGTGGGGAATTGTGTCGGTGCGCGCTTTTCGAGTTCATTAAAAGAACGCTAATAGGTGAAGTAAAACTTAATCCTGGAAATGTCCAAGTTGCTTTATCCAATAGAGGAACTTTCCTCAGAG